GATTGCCTGTCTGATACACTGTCTCCCTGTCAGGTTGAGGTGTTTTCAGGGACTCGGTAGGGGCGGGATGGAGTCTGTAGATGCCGCAGTCACAGCAGGATATGGGTAAGACTCTCCGCTGACCCATTCACCGTCACCAACCTGGCTCACCACTTTTGGCCTTCGTATCCCCCAGTCTCCGTCATGCAAGTTACCGTTCCAGAGAATACATGATCCCTTAGTAATGTGCCACAGACTTCTATAAGCTTGAGTAGCCAAGTTGTTTGGTTATATTTTTTGGTGAATGTAACCTGTTTGTATATATATCCTCCTATAGTATGTTATGCTTTCTTGTCTTGTGCAGAGCGAATGTGTTATACTGTTGGGACTTGGAGGATGCAACCTTTATTTAGATTGTTGACGTCGAAAATGACTGTGACAATACGGCACAATTTTTTTGTCAGTTTATGAAACTTCTAACGACGATGTCGGTTAATGGGTTCTATTTTGAAGGAAATATTTCACATTAGTGGTTTATGGGCTACACAATGATTCTAAGTTTTTACCGCAAAAGTCTACAAGGTCTCACAGCTGTCATTATTGTATGTCCGTTTGAAAAAACACATTTTAGGCCATTAATTCATAAACGCATAACTCGGGGACAGAAGTGGGAAGTTTTACCTTTCAGGAGAAAGGTTTTTTAGCTCATCATTCCTTATAGAATGAATTGGGTGATTCCAACAAGTTCTGAAGCTTTAATCTTTCCATCGCAATCCATATCTGCCTTTCCACTTCCTGGTCTCAATTCGTGTGCGAGTCTGGAATCCGTGATTTGTAAACACGCGTACTGGAGCACATTGTGTGGGGTGCCTGCAATCATGATCCTGTTGATCTGAGTGAGTGACTTGGTTGGACCTTTGCGGCTCATAGGAAAGTGGTTTTCTAGAAAATGCCTGAATGTTGAAAACACTCATTAACTAATCGAAGATTTTATAGGTTGTTAATTTTATTCTAATTAAGTTATTAATTAGGGAATGCTTCCAGGTCATGAAATGTATATTATCGTTAGGTGTGAAAATGCACAGTGAGGAAAGTCTATATTTCAATTATCAATGAGGTAATTTTCCGGAGCATTACTTCTTTAATTTAGTGAGTTTATGTGATCTATCTACTCCATTAGACTCATGTATAGACTGCTTGCTTGGATTTACAAACTTTGCACCCTGTTTTTGCAGTTTGCCTGGGCAGATGCACCCTGTTGTTTCAGTCGGGTGCCGTCCCAGAGGAGTATCCAGTTGAGACGCATCCGGCCTTTTTCGCCACCTTTCAGATGACCTCCGGACTGGCTCTCTATCCCTGGATCGTTCTTCGACCCTCTTTTCTGCTTGCCTGTGTTCCAGTGTGGGGCACCCGGCAAGCTTGCGTGCGGGTGTCTTTACTAGTCATTTTTCCTGCCTATCCGTGAAAACCGATCCCGCGGTGTCCTTTGACCGGTAAGGTGAAACAATACCCTACGTCTTAAAGGGCTCTTAATTTATTAGCCTCTAGAATTGGTTATCTAGTCACCCACTAGAATTTTCAGTTTTGAATTTTCTAATTTGAAGACCAGACATGGAAGGAGTTTGATTCATTTTGATTTGTGAATTTGGGATGATTAGGAGGGTACAACTTAAGGGGTACTTTGGGAACATTGGGGTTAACAGTTTAGTTAAGATCAGTCTTCATACAGTTCTCTCATACCTGATATGGGTTTATCACTTGGCCTGTAATACATGATTTTAGTCCTGACTGGTTTGTTTCTGTCTGCTATGTCACAGGGATGGCTCAGGGAGTCTCGTGTCTTTTTTCTGTGGCACTGCGGTCGCGAGTTCGTATTATCCTTGTTGGCGCTTGCTAGGGGGGGGGCCTTTTCTCTCCTCTCTCTATTCCTCCCTCTTTGCCTTCTTCAACTATGCAGTCCGTTGCCGGAGGTTGCTACCGGTTCTTGGGAACTAAACCCACACAGGCGTTGGCTGAGAGGTTAACACACACACGAGAGTTGCATGCAGAATAATCCTTTTTCTTCGTTTCTTTTTTCTTTCTTTATGTTTCTTGTTTCTGTTTTCTCTCATGTCTATCCGTTCGCTCGTTTCTGTGTTTTCTGGCTGTTGGGTCTCCAATTCTTTCAATCTCATCCTCTTATTTGTTGGGCTCTTTTTGGTTGGTGTGCGTTCTCCTTCTCCGTCTCTCTCCTTGGGTTCTCTCTTCTCGTCTTTTTCTCTCTCATGTCTTCTGTCTTGCAGCATCTTGTGTGTAAATTGTTTGGTTATACTTCTCTCTGCAGGTAGGTGTGCACAGGTTGCTGAGTGTTGATATTTATAGCACACACCCTCTGTCTACTCCTTGTGTTTTGGTTTCCCTTTGCCTAACAGCGAGCGCGAACATCACATTTCTAATTGGCACTGCCCTTCCACACACACACACACACACACACACACACATGCATATGCAAGCCAGTTCACACACAATCTCGCACATTAGGAAGTCTTTCTTCAACCCCCCCTCCTCTTTCTTTCACTCCATTTTTTTCAGTACTTTGAGCTCCTTTCTCAGTTTCACAATACGCATTGTTTCCCTGTGGCATAATGCACAGGGGAAATGTTTGTGTTTGAAATGGATGGTATTTATCGTCTAGTTCTGTAATGGCTCCTTCGTATCCTGTAGGTTTGTTTGTGTGCTATTGATTGCTGGTGAATGCATTGTGTGTGTGTGTGTGTGTGTGTGTGCGTCCTTTTCCTGTGGATACCTATTAAGTGTTCATCTGCTCTTGCTCAGTCATGCTGTGTATGGATTATTTTCCTCATGGTAAGTGGAGAGTGTGTGTGCATATTTGTGTGTGTTTCTGCGAGTGTGTGTATGTTTGAGCAGAAATGTTTGTGTGAGGTTCACCAGTGTGTGGTTAATATCTGCCTCATGTTGGGTGTTGCATCTCTCACCTTCTCCCCCTGTGTGTGTGGTGTGTGGTGTGTGTGGTGTGTGCTTGGGTTGTGTGGTGTCGTGTGTGTGTGTGCATACTTGTCAACCTCCCCCACAGGCTACAGATGGAGAATGAGCTCCGCCAGCGAGAGAGACAGCAAGAGCGTGAACGAGAGAAAGAAAGGGAGCGCGAGGCAGGGCTGGAACGGGAGCGCGAGCGCGAGAGGGAGAGAGAGAGGGAGGAGGAGAGGGGGAGAGAGCGGGAGAGAGAGCTGGACAGACAGAAGGAGAGGCAGAGGGAGAGGCAGCAGCAGATGGTCAGAGCGGCAGAGAGCCACTACCTGGCTGAGCTGCAGGCTCGGAGGGCACCACCCGAGGACAGGGGCAGGCCAGGAGAGAGGCTGACCCCGAACAGACTGGGTACCTACACACGAACACACACCACACACGTGCACTTGTGTATTATAACAGTTGAAGTAGTAATTCATGGTTTCCAAACTCTGTTTCTCCAGATAAAACCAAGGAATCAGAGCATCCAGGTTTCCAGGCACCCAAACCTCTCTCCCTGCAGCCTGGCCTTCACTCCTCCAGGGGGTCTATCCCACACCCAGTGCCCAGCCTGGTGCCTTCTCACCTGGGTAAGCATTCTGCTGCTGCTGCTGCTGGGGGGATCCATGGAGCTCTGGCAGCTGCCATGATGACACAGAGGGCGAGCGAGGCAGCATGGTTGAGTCGGCAACGAGGGCAAGGGCAGGAGAGAGAGGGTCCGCTGGAGATGGGACTCAGGTCACCTGGGAAAGGGGTGGAGCCGAGGAGAGACATCCACAGGTGAAAATGCCAAAAGAGTTAGGCTAAATACATTTAAAAGTATTTATACGTCTGCAGTGTCATTCAGTGTGGTAACATTTGATTTGTTCTTTCATTTTTCTTAAATAGAACCAATTCAGTCCATCACAACACAAGCAGCAAAGATGTACCTCCCTGCCTTGGGGCTCCACCTCCCCTTATCTCCCCTAAAGGACCCCATCACCCTACTGCCCCTCCGACTACACTGTGGAACCCAGCCTCCCTTGTCGACACCCCTGTAGACTCCCGCAGGAAACTCAACCCTCCTACACCTCCAAGTCGGCCGCCTCCAGGACTGACCAGAGCCGACAGACCCCCACTGAGCTGGGGGGAGAAGCTGGAAGATGGAGGCAGAAGGAGGGCAGAAGGCATAGAGAGGTACACCTCACTGAGGGGAGCTAGTTTACAAGAAGCAGGTTCGTGGAACAAGGCAGAGCAGGACAGAGCCATCCAGAGCCTCTATCAGCGGCATCACATCAATAACCTCCACCAGAGATCCTGTGTGCCTCCGTCTACTCCCGTTGCCTGCACTGACCTCGGGGGGCAACGCCAGGCAGAATCTCCGTCTCGAGTGAGGGAGCGACAGAGTCAGCCGCCCGACAGCATGTTGGTGTATGACGAAGTTCTCCAGCAGCACCGCCGGCTGCTCAGCAAACTCGACCTGGAGGAGAAGAGGAGGAAGGAGGCCAGAGAGGGAGGTGAGTCCAGAGCGAATTTATGAGCAGGAAAGGGAAGTGGTAGCACGAAGAGATGACTGCAGCAAATGGTTGCTTGTGCCATCAAAACTAACTCTTGCAATTTCTTGCCCTCCTCTTACCAGGTTATTACTATGACCTGGACGAGTCATATGATGAGAGTGACGAAGAGGAGGTGAAAGCCCATTTGAGGAGAGTGACAGAACAGCCCCCACTCAAACTGGAAGCATCCTCGGAGGTATATGAACATAGACAGACTTCCTATAAACATAAAAGGTTTTTTAAAATGTTTTATTAGCGTGATGTTCACCTGCCCAAATTTCTCTGTCCGAAGAAAGTGGATTTTCTGCGCGTGTGTGGTCTGACCACGCTGTCCCATCGCGATGAGCTTCTGGCACGGAAGAAGAGGAAGAGGAGGAGGATGATGAGAGAGCGCAGCCTCTCTCCGCCAGCCGTGCGGGCCAAGAGGAAGGCCTCTTCACCTTCAACACCTACAACTCCCTTAACTACCCCATACTCTGCCGAACAGATGGACAGCACCCCTGAGCTGGGGGAGAAAAAGGACTTCCTCCTTATGTTCAACCTTTCTCATGTCAGCCCACAGCAGAGGAGAGGTAACAACCTGTTTAGTATCTATACACACATCCTACGTGCTACTCTGCTCTCTTCACAGTTGATGATTCCCAGTGGAAAAATACAACATGCAGCATGCTCTCTCTGTTCCATTATTTACCAAGGGTGTAGGAGAGGTGAGAAGAAAATAAAGTTGGGTGCATCTGGAGAGGAGGTTGTGGCAGGATTTTCTACTTTTTCCAGTAAGGGTCGATTCGAATCCACAGCTTGTCAAACTATAAATTTAAAATGTATGAATTTCTTTTAAAAAAGTTATTAAACTAATGTCTTTCTAATATAAAACAGTAGATATAAAAAAAATAAATAAAATACAAAGCATATATACTGTGTTGGATAAACATATGGCTCATTATTTTCCAATACTTATTTCTTAAAATCTGGGAATTTGGCTGTATTTGTTTTGTTTATTTTATCCATTTATTAGGATATTAAGGTAAAGGTAACTCAAAATCAAAATTTTGTATTATCTTTTTATACTGTAGATCAGACTATAAATAACTATACTGCTATATTATACTACTACTAATTATACTATAAATATTAACTATAAATCAGAGCCACCCATCATTAGTGGATAGATACATATCATACATTAATTATATTTTATGGAAAGGCTGTCATTTTCCCACAAAGTCGAAAAAGATTATTATTTCTAGACTTGGACCAAGTGGAATGAGTACATTAAACCTAATGTGATTTATTTTTATAACATCTAACAGCTTGCTCTTTATTTATTTTTACTTTTCTTTTTTTTCTAAAGGGAAAGCTTCCTGTGTTCAACTGTAAATAATTAAAGCTAATGTTCTGTGAGGGGATCTCTGGAAGAGCTAGGCTGTAAATTGGTTTTGTGCACAGTGTTGTGTGGATCTACCTGCAAGTGGTACTGTGTACATTGATGAATGCTTTTCCAAGAAAAACAACAACAAACAAAATCAGCAGCTCATTTCCTTTCAGTTTTGTTAGTGGAAGGATTTTCTAATCAAAATCGCAGGAGGACCTAGTTTACTGTAAACTGTGGTAATCAGCTTTTGAATAAATAGGGACATCAGATCTGGATGAAAATCGGAATAAACCAATCTCTGACTCTCTTGGTGAAAAAACTGAAAATGAGCCTTTATTAAACTTCAGTTTTTGTGGCCATAGTCTGTGATGGTGTTGTTCTGGACATTAACCTCAAGTCACACATTTCCTTGCCCCGGGCGATATTTTAAATCCTCAAACATGAATGACAGGTGTTCTCATTCTGTCTTTTCCTCTGTAGATAAAGAGAGGACAGAGGAGCTGCTGAGGGCCATTCAGAAGAAGACCGTGACGTTAGACACACTCAGATATAATCCTTTACCTCCATGTAGCAGTCCTTCTGCTCCCTCAACTGGTGAGACACACACAGACACTTGAGCAAATACATCCACACAGACATTTATATGCTGCTAAAACTGTACAAATGTATTTCTAGGTGACTCCTCGTCAGCTCCTCTGCCGTGTCAATCAAACGGACATCTGTACCCAGACTCTCCAAGCCCCTCCCCGCCGTATGTACACAAACCTAAACATCTCCTCCATAATGACACATTCAAACCCTCCATGGACAGCCAAGTGGCCCGCGTCCCTCCACCCTTGGCCGTTCATCATGAAAAGGCTGAATTCACGGAGCCAAACAGGAAGCACCAGGGCCTCCAGAACGGCGTTGTTGCTTCTCCCCAGAAAAAGGAGCCCAGTCCTGTGCAGAATGGATGGAATCGGCCCTTGGAGAGGTTCACGCCTGAGTCCTTTGCTCAGCACTTCCACCAGGCTGTGCTGCAGTCTACACACAACACGCTGCAGAACAAAGGTTAGCAACTCGCTCCCAAAGGTGCATGACCATTAGGCATGATTGAGACTTTTAAAATGACAAAGTCCTGCCACCTAGTGGTGTTAAAATGCAGTATCCTAGCAGTTAAAACATCTATTAGTAATCATATTGGCTGCTTATGAAGTGTTGCAGCTGCAGAGACTGACATTGCATTTTTTCTTCTCAGGAGTCTCAAATTGCATCCCAGAGGCCGGCACGAAGGCCGACCACTCGTTGTTTCACAGCATCTCTCAACAGAAGAGTTCAAATGTTAACCATGCCCCTCAGCAGGCACACATCAACGGCCATCACTTCCACCGTTTCCCTGTAGGCAGCAGGGACACTCCAGGACCACGGGAAAACCTGTCTGATGAGGACGAGGAGGAGTCTGGACAGGAGGAGGAAGAGGAGGAGGAGGAGGAGGAGGAGGAGATGGAAGAAGCTCCAAAGAAGTGGCAGGGTATTGAAGCTATTTTTGAGGCCTACCAGGAGTATGCAGATGGTGAGTCAATGTTAAGTTCATTTTATGCACGTAAACCAAAAACTGCTTGTTTGTTAATTATTTGTTTTTATTTATTTTGAATTGTTTGAATTGTCATGTGTTTCTTACTGTACATATGACAATAAACCTCTTGAATATTTTCTTTATTATGAATGTACAAAGTTCAGATATCCTCAAAGGGAAAATACTAGAAAAACCTGAGCTGAAAATACCTCATTAAAGTGTAATTATAGAAACATAAAATGAGGCCTGACTGATATCGGATTTTTGAGGTTGATTCAATATTGACATTCAGCAGTTAAAAATAACAATATATAGGCCAGTATTTGTTTTTTAACATAAATGCATAACAGAAATATCCCCTAAATGTGGTGAGCAATGAATTGTGATGAAGATATGAACTGATCACAACAATTTAAAGTAGAAAAATACATCTGCAACTGCTCAGTGGAAGGAAAACTATGTAATGGAGTCACTGTTTCTAAATTACCTTTCTGTTACACCAGGGGTCGGCAATAAGGTTCAACTGTGGGCCCATTTTTCAAAGAATTGTTCACTGGGGGTCTTGCTTAATTTTACAGCTGCTGTGGAGACAGACAATCCTGCATATTTTGTATTTGTATTTATTTATTATTTATTAGAGTTTATTTGGATTTTCTATTAAGATATATCTAATTTGGCAAAACAAAATCCTCATTTACACTAATCTGTGTTCTGTGTTGCCCTCATGACTCAAAATGCAAATACGTGGTTATGCACACTTGGTGGTTGTGAAACTGGGAGCGTTAACCCCCAGAGATCAATTTACTCCTCTTGGTTTGTTTGTAGGAAGCCAGTGTAAACAGGAACCGGCACCCTTAGTACACAGTGACCGCCTTCATTTATGGTTGAAATCCTGTTGTTGTTACCTTCTCCTCCTTTTTTTTGGGGGGGGGGGGCACAAATTATTCATAATTATAATGCAGCTTGTAAAGGCTTAGATTGAAACAATAAAAGGGAAAACTTTTGGTCCAAATATTTTTGATGGAGGGCCAGATTTGGTCCACGGGCCACTATTTAGGTCATTTGTTTAAAAGAGGTATTGGAATAATCTTCCCTCATTTGTGGTTTCTGTGTGTTTCTTTCTGTGCAGCGTGGAGTATAGAGCGGCAGGTTCTTCACAGTCAGTGTAAAAGACTTGAAGCACAAAATTACAACCTGACCAGAACGGCAGAGCAGCTTTCTCTCACTATGGGGGTAAGTACCTGAGACCATATCTGCATGCAGATTTGTGTGTTTTCATCTTTGAATGTCACTGTTCCCCTTTGCTGGTCGTACTCCTCTGTGTAAGCGATGCAGCATAGTGCCGGAAAGTCTTGGTTCTGTAATGAGAGTCGTATCCCTTTTCATTTCCTCAGGACCTAGTGAGTCAGAGGCAGAAAGTGAGAGAGGAGAGGGAGAGACTGCAGGCCCAGCTCGAGCACTTCAGGAGGTGTTTGACACTACCTAACATTCACTGGGGCAGGAGGCAAGTCAACGGGCACACACCGAGGTGACCTCTGACACCGACTCTCTGGCAGATAATGCCTCTGACAGCGGAGGAACAGTAACAAGAACAAGACAGACTGGAGCCAGACCACTCACTGCACTTGAAGCACTTGAAGGAGCCAGTCCTTGTCTTGTTACCATTTCTGGCCAGTCAGTTATGTTACCTGACTGGTTCCAACTGATCACCTGCCATGTTCGCCGCGGTTACTGTACACCGTGGTGACCGTATAGTCTGGGCAAATTCCCACTCTCTGTCACTCTGCCCATGGATAATAACACTGTGTAGGTGAAACAGCGTCTTTGTCAGAGTAACACCACCCACTCCCACTAGTCCCTGAGATGGCTTTAAGGACTTTCCACCATTTAGCTCATATCATATGAATTTCTGCATAAACTGTATTTATCCAAGCTTGGTACAAATCTGTAGTCTCTGGACAGCGGTGAGAAGAGACTTAAAGCGCGTAGTGGTCACTTGGTTAAAACTCAGAGAATGAAAATTGAGTCAAGGAATCAAAGCACACCTCAGGCCTTAAACTTGATAGGATGCACTTGAAATGGAATTGGGAGGAAATACTTGACTATCCTCTGTGTGGTATAATGTTGTAGCGTCTACTGAGCACTTGTCTGACGGATGACACAGTTTGTGTGCTGGTGAAGCTTCTGCAGAGGATAGGAAACATCTAAAAGATAGTATCTATATAATGGTATCAATGAAGTTTTTTGAGGTTTAATACACTTTTCCATTGGTGAAATCACTCGCGGTAGACGAAGAATTTTGTATGTTTTATCGTTTTAACCATTTTCTTGTGGGAAGCCATATGTTCTTGTTTTTAATTGCTGCTGGTCAGAATAAAGATGTTTAGAAAATGAAGGGTGTTAGGACAGTTGTATTTGAAGAAAATGTTATGTGATTTAAAAAAATGTTTGAAGGGTTAGACCACTGGCGATGGATGACAACATGGCGAAATATCAGGTTTTTGTCTCGCAGCATTATCAAGTTGTCATGATTAGTTCGCAGGTTTATCCCCCAGAGTCTGTGCTCTAAGCCCTCCACACGCCTATAAATATTGACAAACCTTGAATAGAAAAAAAGATGTGATTTAAAAAAACAAACCTACACGTTCTTTAATAATTGGCATCATTTGAGTGACATGACTGAACTTTTAGGCATACTGTCCAACCTTACCACACCTTTCTGAAGGTGGTTTATTGTGGCGTTGTTTCGAAAAATTAAGTTTAACTGATTTTGTTGAGAAAACTAATGAGCCAAATTATTATACAGTTCTGTTTCAGGACTGTGTCAAGACTAATAAATTATACCTTTAATTGTTCATGGGTGACATAAACATCATAATAACCCTATCCTTCTGTGGATAACAATAAAACTACACCTTCTCTGGTCTTTTGGTGAGATTTATTTCCATCAAGCCAGATCAAATTTATCACAAATTCATAATTTCTGCCTCCATCCCCTTATGAATGTTAAAATCCCAGGAGCCTGTTCGTACAAGCACAACAGTAGCAATGTCCCAAAATCATTTGACCTTCCTGTGTCACCTGTTCAGTCTCCTCTACAAACCTTCTGTGAAATCCTGCATATTTGTTTCAATCAGTTGTTATGTAATGTATTATTTGGGACGTATAATTGTGATGAATTATTTATTAACATATATTGCTGTAAAGTCTGATGGAAATTTACAATAAAATATTTGTAAAATGTCTTTTGTCTGTCATTGTCATGTGTCTGTTTCACTTCTGATAAATGTCTCACAGCAGTCTTCACCTAACAGTGTATTCAACACGTAGATGTATAATTAATTTAATGGTCTATGGTCATTTATTGTCAGCAGTAAAGAGCCAACAGAATATAATCCAAATATTTATGTTTATTTTTTGATATTTGTGGACAGTTTACCTGCCATATGACGATGTTTACCTGATGTAAAATAGGTTGGTGATAATCTAAATCTGAGTTGTTTCCTTAATTAACAGATATTCTGAAGAAAGTTTCTGAAAAAAAAGAAGCAATGTCTGTCTTTGTTTGATTAAAAAAGGAGCTATATGAAGAATACGCCATTTTATTGCATACATTACTGGTAGAAATAACACCATATACAAGAAGTGATTAAAGGAAATACCAGAACATCTTAATTCTATCGTAGACTCTCAAACTCTTTCAAGAAAGTATTCCCCTCATTTGGTGACTTAATGATGGCAGCTGATGGTGCTGGCTGAGACTCTATGGTTATTTAATCGGGTTGAGATCAAGTGCCTGTGAAGGCCACAGCATACGATTAACACCATTTTCATACTCATCAAACCACTCTGTGATCTCTTGTGTCATCTGGATGGGGGAGGCAGGAAAAGAGTCAAAGAGCCACTCTCACTAAGACAGAAATGTTTCATTGGATAAAAGCAGTGGTAGAAAGTAGCTACATTTACTCAAGTACTGTACTTAAACTTCACTACATTTAGAAGAGGAAAAAGAGGGAAACATTGCCTTTACAGTGAGCCAACAGGTACAATAGCAGCAACCCTGACTCTGTTTGACCTGCATGGAACAGAAGCTTAATTAGTATCATCGGTAACACCTGAGTTTACTCTACTATTTCATGTCAAAATGGTCCATTCAGTCGCAAATTAAAGGCTCTGCATACTCACACAGGTGTTTTCAATTAGCCTGGTCGCTTAGATGTCTAGTGAGGCGTAAGCTGGGTGGAGTTGACCTGATTTCAACAAAACTCTATATACTTAAAGAAGAAGAAGACAGGATATGCTACAGAGTGATAAATTGTACACATTCTACTATATTTATGTTTAACTATTAATAAAGAGCCCAGTAAGCTACAGAAATGCTTTAGCGTCCATTTTGTAGTAGTAGTCATAGGGGACAGAATAGAGTGAAACAAGGGGGAGCAAAGAACTAATTAGGCGACTTTAGTGAACACACTTGTGTAGAGGGACCGTGTTATACATTAATACGACTTTATTTTCTGTTTATTAACAAACAGCAGTTAAAAACAGACAGTACATGAACAGAAAATGAGTAAATACATTTAAGGTTTGGATATATTGCTTGATTTATCTTTTCAAATATTAAAAAAAGATGAAAAGCAGTAGGACTGATAATATAATATTGATTTCTTTTGGTAGAAGAGCAAGAAAAAAAAAACCAAACAATACATTATCATATGAAAGGGTAACTAAATCTGAATCAATATATTGGGAAATAAAAGCACAAATATCTCTCCAGACAGAACAAGAATGGTGAAAGGACCAAAATTAATGACATAAATCTTCTGGAGCCAGTTGATAAAATTAGTAAGTTACATCAATGTCCTTTTTATATCTTTGTCAAAATAACATGGAGGGATAAAAACAATGACATATTTTTACTTTAAAATCAAATATTTAGAAGGTAGACGTGATATTTTCTTCCAGAAGGAAACTTTGATTCTGAACAGAGACCATTTCTTTTAGAAATAAGGCACATATATCACAGTTATTATTCTTTTTAGAGGAGAAACAGACAGTAGTAAAAAGTCAGTTCACATAATACTGAGTTTCATACTACAGCGCGACATAATGAGGGATGTGTGCAGTGCTTGGAGCAACATAACACAGTGGAAAAACATTCAACCACCATGTGACAAACCAAAGGCTGACTGTGTCCAGCAGCTATTCACGTAGCTTCTGGATGACGATCAGCAGATAGCCGTTCTCTAAAAGAAGAAGAGAAGACGGGGGAATAGAAATATAATAAAAACAGTAGATGATTCCTCTTCTAAGTTACAGCTGTTGGCTTTACTAGTAATAACTTTACTTTCCCCAGTAACTAGTAGTGTAACTAAATGGAGGAAACTAGCTTGGAAGATGGAAACGCTTATATTCAGTGGCTGGAAATATTCCCATTACTTTGATTTTAACAAACAAAACTGGATTGTAAGTCTGAATTTGGAGAGGAAGCTACATAATTACCAATTTTGTGGAGAGTAGCAGAAAAGAAATAAAACTACTATTGTAAATGTTACTTTCTGTAATACTGCAATCTTTAAAACTCACTATTACTCATTTCATTTCTGTCTGTAACATACTGTGGCATACATTTACATGTCTATATTGTCATATATTTAATATATTTATATATATTTTTACTTATATATAAACCTATATTTTCTATTTCTATATATATTGTGTTAGATATTATAATATAATTAGTACTTCTATTCTTTAACATCGTGTGAGCACCTTGAATAACAAACAAAATCTGCCCCCAGGGATCAATGATAATTACTGTTGGCAGGGAGTAAAAAGTAAAGTAAAGAGTAATACATTTCATTTTTTGAGTAACTAGCCCAACACTGGTCATGATTACATTGCTGGGCGATATACCGGATATAAATCGGATGAACAAGTATGAATTTACATATGATTAAAGTTGTTGTCATCTGTTTTTTATTTTTAAGTTCTGTTTTTATTTTTTTTTTAATTTTACTATTTTGCAGTTTGCACAATAATAATTGTTTACATTATCAACTGTTTAATGCAATCTGATTCATTCATAATATACTGTATCATTTTGTGGAGCCAAGAAAAGCCCCAAAAGTAATCAAAGCCTATAGGATGAAATTATCGGCTATGTGATGAAATTAAAATGACTTTTTTAATATTGTATGTACTCCTGACAGTAGAATAAACCACTATACACCTATATATAAAGGCCCAGTCACAAAATGCATATGAAAATGCAAAAAAAAAAAAAAGTACTATGATATCATTAATCAAATAACATGAAATACATTTTTTGGTCATAGATTACGTCAACAATACCAATCTTACTCACTCACCTGGAGTAACCATGATCTCATCCTTCTTGGTACGGATGCGGAGGAAGGTGAGGTCATTCTGAGGATCGATATCCCTCACTGTGCTCCTGGCCTGCATCGTGAGGTGGTGAAGAAGTCCTGCGTACTGAGCCGCCGTGCAGTTATCTAAAGTGGTTCTGATGGGAATACCTGCAAAGACAGACAGTATTGTAAACATGTTGTATCAGCGGGGAAAAAAAAACTGTTATTTACTGGATATGTATGCACGTTGTCTTACCTTTTGCATTAACAACTATTGTCCCAATCACACCTTTATGGGCTTCGATCCTCTTCAGCGTTTCCTCAACTTCAGCCTGCAGGACAGAATGAAATTAAAGAAAAATTAAATTCAACAAAAATACGCTTTTTTTTTTATATATAAACATTAATAACGTCATCTTAACTAATAATAACAAACATAGAAAAAACATTTTCGACACAAAACACCAGTTAATTGATCGCCTCCTACCATTTTTTTTTCTGCCTGCTCACGAC